CCCGGCGCTTGCTCAGCAGGACCCTGGGGGGGTACGGGGGGGTCAGGGGGGTTTTGGGGGGAATTGGGGATCGGGGGGTGTGTCAGGGGGAGTCAGGGGACCCCCCCCAAATCCCACCTGTGCCTCCAGCTCCTTCTCGTTCATGTCCCGGTGCTTCACCACCAGCACCGCGTTGGTGCCCGACTGGACCCCGGCGCGCGCCCGGCGCTTGCTCAGCCGGACCCTGGGGGGGTACGGGGGGGTCAGGGGGGCCCAGGGACCAACAGGGACCCCCCTGGGGCACCCCAAACCTACAGGGACCCCAAGGGACCCCCAGGGACCACCCCAGACCCCTCTGAACACCCAACCAGTGCTGATCTGGGGGCGTCTCCCAGCCCCTCCCAGTGCTCCCCAGTCCCCTCCCAGTGCCCCCCAGTCCCCTCCCAGTCCCTCCCAGTCCCCTCCAGTCCTCTCCCAGTCCCCTCCAGTCCCCTCCCAGTCCCTCCCAGTCCCCCCCAGTCCTCTCCCAGTCCCCCCCAGTCCCACCTGGTCTCCAGTTCGTTGTAATAAACCCCGTCCCCCTCGCGGAAGATGAAGAAATAATTCTCCTCGTAGCCTTTGCTCGCCTTGTTCTTCACGTTCCAGTTGTACTCCCGGGCGATCTTGTAGTCGTAGCTTGGAGGGGGCACAGGAGGGGCTTGGGGGGGGCCGGGGAGAGCCCCCCAAACTGCCCCACCCCCCCATTTCCACACCAGAGTTCCCCCCAAAACCTGCCCAAAGCCTCCCGGGGTCTGTCAAGGTGTTGCTCCAAACCCCCCCCATTTGGTCTATAAAAGGGCCCTCCTGGTTTCCTGGGCCCCTCCCCCAGGTTTTGGGGCCCCCCCCCCAGGTTTTTGGGGCCCCCCTTACACGTCCTCAGGGGCGTAATCCACGTCCTCCTCCTGGTCCCTCTTCCTCTTCCTCAGCGTCTCCTCCACGGGCAGGAAATAGGCCACGAACTGGTTCCCCTCCTCGTCCATCATCCCCCTGGGGGGCAGGGGGGGTCAGGGGGGCTCGGGGGGTCCGGAGGGGCCCGGGGGGGCTCAGGGACCCCCCAGCACCTGATCATGGCCTGGGACATCATCTCCAGGGCCGCGGCCCCCGACGTGTCCTTGGGCGCCGGGTCCGAGTCGAAGATCACTTGGGCACA